GGATCCAACAAAATATAAGGTTAATTTTTAATAAGCCATGATAGAAATCATTCTGAAAAGGGAAGGTGCTTATATTTCTTATTGTTTGACACTACCATCACATGCAGAGTGCTGATCAGTACCTGTACCCTGTATGCCAGGAGTCTTCTGTTAAATAGCTGGGAAGAGATCATTCCTGCCCAGAAATGCAAACAACCTAAGGCAAACGTAGTAAGTGGGAATAACAAATGACCAGAGGGGACATAGGCCCTGTCATTAGTGCTCAAAACAGTGATTTGCCTCCTGTACCATTGGATGACAAAGATTGCGCAGTAGTAGCAAAAGGAGTGAGCTGATGTTACAGTATTTCTATAATAGCATGAGTTATTTCTCAAAAACTACTCTTACCAGGGTTCAGTGTTAATGAAGACTTTCAGTTCCTCATAGGACAGTATGAAACTGGGATCAAGTTAATATGAGGGAACTTCCCCATGTCATGCAACGATTTGCACTATTATATCAGAGTTTCAGAAAGTATCATGGTCTTAAAACTATGCCTTTGCTCTTTTCTAAATCACTAACTTGGAGGAGGCTTGGGGAACAGCAGCAACATTATTTTTCTGAAAACCACTGCACTGAAAACAGACCAGATGCAGTCAGAAAGCTCCAAGGATCATTGGGAGTATGCATTGTGGCTAGACAGACTCACCACCCAAGCGTCACCTAGAGGAAGATGGCAGGGTTTCAACAGGCACTACCACAGCTCTGAGGCAGTACTAGCAGCCTAACGCTGCTCCCAATAGACATATGCAACTTGCCAATTAAAAGCTGTTTCCACCCCTACCCCCACGGAAGTCTTCTGTCTATGGGTTCAGGAAGAAAAAAGATCATTTCTAAGTAAGTATGGAAAGATTTAAAATGAATAATATACTGAAATAAAATTATAATTAGAGCATTTAATAGTCATGCTTTCTTTCATCTTGTATGGGAAACATTCAAGACCCGCTTGCACACCAAATATTATTATAAGACATGACTTAACCCTGATCTTTTCAAGCAACAAAAGATATTGGTATGGAAGGAAACTACTTGACACAATGCAATGAAAGGGGTTTAGTTTCTCATAAATGTTCCAACAAGGCAGTAATCCATGTAAATGGATTACAATTTAGGATGTTTTCAGTTGATTTAGAACACATTTTTTAAAGCAAATAGCTGTTTTTCAAACTACTCAAAAAATCTTTATCCTTAAAATTAATACATGATGGAGTTTTAATATCTTTCTTTTTATGCTGTCTATGTTTATGTTGGCTTTTCATATTTCAATAGAATAATAAACTTTTACTTCAAAACATAGCATTTTTACATTTCCCTGAAAATGTATTTCTATCTATTTGAACAAAAAAAAAATCAACTTAAAAAGAAAAACCCTTTAAAGCAGCCCAAATTTCCAACCAGATAATGTCTGAATAAAAGAAACCTCTGCATTGTTATTACAGAGGTTCTTTTGCTGGAGTTGAAAAAGTAAAACACTAGAACAAGCACTGGCACAAAGTCAGTGTACTCTGAAGACTGCTTAGCTCAGGCACAAGCTGAAATCACTGTGAAGAAATCACAGTGAGGAAATAAGGACAAAAAAGCCTTCAGCTCCCTCTCTACTGATAACAGTAAAGGTTGTTATTTATTTTGGAGTTTAGCTCAGCTAACTATTTTTTAAAAAGATGTCCCTTCAACATTGTTAACTGTAACTGCTCTAACCATTATTCTGGTTATAAGAATCATTCCTGCCACCAAAATAAACTGTTACTTAATTGGGCAGTGAACAAATCACAGCACTGTATCTCTTTTAGCAGCTGGACAGCAAAGAAGTGATATGGTTGCAACGGTGTGTGCCTAATGCTTTATCAATCACACACAGCAACGAGCGTCCTCATAAAGTGGAAAGGATGCACAGGTGGTTTAGGAAAAACTGTAAGCAAATCGCTGCTCCATAGCTTGTCCTGTAGACTTACAGCATTCGGAGATGTATCTGAGCCATTTGGCTGAGGAACCGTTACTCCATTACTCCATTGCTCCACACAGATCAGCTATGCAAGTCCTATCTGTAGCTATCTTCCCTGGAGACGCTGTGATCTGTGCTTTCTAAGAAAGTTACATTGTTTTTATAATCACTATTTTTATTTTGAATGAACTAGGAATTGTGTGGAAGTGAAGGAGAGATGTGATCTCACTACCCCCAGACTGCCTTTCAGACTCATCAGGGTTTCAGACGAACAGTGGAGGCTTTTCTTGCAAACCAGCACAGAAGGACGTAAGTGCACTGTGTGCACGCTTCTGAGAAAAACAGCCTCCTCCTAGCCGCTCCTTTGCTCGCCGCAGTGAGCGGAGCGTGGGGCAGGACCCTGCCTCTGGTGGAGCAGCAGCTCAGCCCGGCTGGCCTGGCCCGCTTCTCAGGTCGTGCGCCACTTCTAACCCGTAGTTTCCCAAGCCGCCAAATCTTGAAACAACACAAAGCCCTTCTGCACCGTGTCAGTGTTTGTGTGCAAAGTGAGGTGAGGGAAGGGGGATTAAAGTTGCCCGTTCCCAGAGCAGCCTTTCTCCTCCTGCAGGAGGAGGCTCAAGGAGAACCTGAGGGCTCACCAACCCAGCCTGGTGCCTCTTCAGAGTCCCAGGCACCAACGCGTTAGTCCAGGCCTTAGAGGATCAGCGTCTTCATAAAAAGCCCGCACACTCACAAACAACATTCACTGTCAGTTCCACCGAGATGGATAAAGCCCAGCTAGAGGGTGGACCCGGTCACAACATAATGATATGTCAAGGATATCTGAACTTCTACTGCCCTTGCCGAACCCCTCCAACACATAACTGAGGGCTGGCTCCTTTCAGAGCTTCACGATTCAGTATGTTTTGTTAGCACTCTATTTTTTTCCCTTCCCCAACGGAGAGAGATGGAAGAAACAATACAAAAATAAATGTCAAGGGTGGTGGTGGGGAAATAGGATAGACAAAATTAAGGACAAGTTTTCACCTCAATTATTTGAATAATATGAATATTTAATATTCTGGCCTCAATCACTGGTTACAAATTCCTGTTTGGAAAAAAAAAAGCCCAATAAAAAAAGCAAAATATTTGGAAATATTATTCCTTCCAATCCCTCTATCTCCAAATTATTTCCCGTTTCACCCAGAAAATCTATTTCTGGCCTTCCCAGCCTTTGTACAAACTGCTGCTGCTTCCCTTTTACCACGGTTATCTTACCCCTTTCTAGACAAAACTCTTAGGGGCCACAGACAGTTGAATTATGGAGGAACTAGTTAAATCTGCACTTGCCCTTCCTACTCCCAAACTACCATGATGGCTAATCTGTCTGTCTGTCTTAGCTGTTGTTTCAGAATGATAGTATTAAAACTACAGGCACTTGGCAGTTATTTTTAGCGAAATTTTCTTACTTATGTTATGATTTAGACACAAATAGCATAGTGGCAATTTTTCAAAGGCAATAACTTGCTACTAAAAAATTGTATATATTGGTTGTCTGACACTAAACATGTCAAATCTTAGACTATTAGCACAAGAGAACCATAAAAACCTGATGCTTTCATTGTTCTGCAAAAATTGTTTCATCTTACCAAGACTATTACACATACCCAGCAGATTTCTAGTCAGTCAGAAGACGAAAAATGCCCAATTAGCTGAAGAAAAACTGTTTTCCAAGTATATACTCATATGATTTCCACAAAGGCTATACCATTATGTCATAAAAAGGAATAGCATCAAATATGTTTTCAGGAAGAATTTTTTTTCTGAAACATTTTAAATCCACTACGACCTTCAAGACATTCACGTATTGTTCCACAAAATTCTCACACTGCACATCAGTTTAGAAAGTAACTGATCCCACAAATGGAGCCAGTAAAAAACATCATTGGATCCTCTTATAACCGAAAACATGTAGCTGAAAACTTTACTTTAAACCAGTAATGAATTCAAACCCCAATTCCAGAGCATTCAAGGTTAAATCCAAATGCTCTTAAATTTAGAAGAAGTCAAATTAACATCCATATGTATATTTTTGGCATCAATGCTTTTCCAAGCTTGCTCTGGAGGTATTTCCAGCTTGATTTTAGTTCCTTAGTTCAGACCTTGACCTATTTCCAAGCCAGTTCTGTTATTATAAGAAGTATTCTGGCTGGAGCAGCAACACAGAAATCTTCCTTTTTTTTTTTCTTTTTTTTTTCTTTTGCTTTTTAATGAGAACATTTTCTTTAAGAATGAATTTCATTAAAAAATCTTTTCTTCCTAGTGTGTTACATATTCATTTAGTTTTCAAATTATGTATCTGATGCTGCAAGTGCTTGCTTCTCAGCACTTCTCTTTGCCCTAGACCTCGCAATTGGAGATAACATGACATATCCGTAGCAACATCAGTGGGGTGCGTTATTACACCCATTCTATTCTTTTGATACCCCACTAAAACTGAAGCATATTACAAAATAATGGCTTCCTCCTCCAACACAATTTTGCAAAAATTATACTGCATATCTGTGAGGAAAGGCATACCTAAACCAGTTCCTGTCTTGCACAAACACCTGAGACAACTACAGTGTGGCAAGTATGTAGAGGGCCAGCACTATACCGGCATGACAGGGGAAAAACAGCATTATGATCCTGAACAGATTTACAACTAGTGGCAGGATAGTGATTGGCAGCAGGCCAGTAAAGTTCACCATTTTATATGATGTGGTAACATATACTGGGCTTGTTCAGTGGGCTGTTTGGAGAGGTGCTGTTACAGGAACTAGAGAACACAGACCTTTGCTCAGACCGATGGTTAGATGGCAAATTTAGCGCAAACCAACAAAAGGTTGAAGATTATGTTATTAAATCTAATCCGTACAGACTGTTCTGACCTATGTTTCCCTTTATGTACTAAAATAAAAGACATAGTTTCATACATCCCAGATCTCATTAACCCTTTAGCCAGTGGAATTCAATCCCATATAATCTGGATTTACTATACCTCACTAAACTGTTGGCAGCATCAGGATCTTGTGCCGTTACTGTGCCAACAGCAGTCCCAATCTTCGCATTTTCATAAACTTCCATGACATAGGAAGGCATAGTGAAGAGCGGAGGTTCATCCACATCGCCAACAATGATCTTCAACATTGTTACATCTTTGAATGGTCCCAAGTGCGAAAAGCGGAAGTCAAGGTGAGTATTTGCTCCTTCTATATTAAGTGTATATGATTTCTTTTTTTCATAGTTGAGCGGCTGTTGGCAGAAAAGAAGCTTTATCAATGTCATTCTATGCTTCAGTTTAGCCTGCTAGCAAGCTAACTACATCTTTTCCATTTAACTTAAACCACATTTCTTCATGTTATTGGAAAGGGACAATATTCTGTGATATTCTGGCAGCGACTGCCATACCTTGTAAGTAGAAGGATATACATGAAACAGGACTAATTCAGGTTTTCTCTTTTGTGGGCAAGGTACCAGTTTTGGAAAAAATGAGGGTTTAGAATGAGCCTCAGATTCTTCTTCCGTGGCAATGTAAAGTCTCTGGATTTTATCACCTTTTGATTTTTATTCGTCAATGCTAAATACTGAAAAAGGTAGAGACTGATGTATCCCAAATTAAATTAACTTCATATCTTTAATTAACAAGTTTAATAGACAGTGATAGAGATACTAGAATTCTTTTGGACAACTCTGCTCTTAAATCCTCAACTGAAAAAAGCAACTCCTTGCAGGAAGACACTCAGTTATCATAAGAGACTTAAGGAACTTAAATGTGTAAGAATAGCCGAAACATATGCTTGTGTGCTTTTCTATCAGAAGGGGTGCATCCCTATATTCTAGACCATTTTCTTTTCAATTCTTCACCAGCAATGAGAGACAATTCTTCAGCCTGTCTCACCACGTACTGCTGTGCTGCACATGGATTATGCTGTCATAAATGGGAAGAAAGTCTGCAGCTGGGGATATGCCTTCCAGGGCCTAATGTTCCAATAAAACCCAATAGAAGGCACATCCCCAGCTGTACCATCCACCAGAAGCGCTGCTGCCACTTTAGCATTACCCTGATATTTAAATTAATAGATTCCTACTAGGAATCCTACCTCTCTACTACAAAGGAAGAAGATGGGGGTCTGACTCATATATCATACACCATGGATACTTTCTTTCTTAGGAGTCCCATTTCTAGCTTGCTATTTACACGTGTGAAAATTTCACCTCCCTAGTTCAGCTGGTTTTCAGATTATTGTGAACTAATTTATTGACTTGATATATTTATTTTAACTCTACATTAGCATGCTATCACACTGTCTTATGCAAGATTTAAGATAAACATGACACACACAACTCTCAACTCTTCCAGTGTCAGATAGTTACGTAGTAGAGGGGACTAAAAGGATATTTAACTTAAAAGTATGCAAGTAATGAAGTTCCATTAGCAGATATAGAATCATAGAATCATAGAATCATAGAATCATTAAGGTTGGAAAAGACCTCTAAGATCATCAAGTCCAACCGTTAACCCAACACCACCATGCCCACTAAACCAATGTTTTTACTGGAAGCCATGTTTACAGGACCACAACGATTTTGTGTTGGTTTCTTCAGTCTCACTAAAGTAACTGATTACTTTTCATAGACAGCCCATTGAGAATTTCATGTGAGAAGTTATTTCTTCTATATATTGTCTGTTAGTTCTAATTACTGAAAAAGCTTTAAAAAATACCAGTTCAGTTCCAGGCAGTCATAGGACAGGTTTCAAGTTTTAGATTGCCATTTTAAAAATGTACTTCTATATTGAGCAAAAGCACTCATTCTTGATAATAGACACCTCAATACCTACTGGGTTACAAATTTCTGGCTTCAGCCAATTTATAAAGAAGGACAGGTAGGTTAATACTTATTATCATACTGAGCAAAACAGGTAGTTTGCACAGATATATATATATTACCACTAAGTTTCCAACAGTCTCAGAACACAGGCATAACACTAAAAGAAGTTGCATACATGTGGAATTTTTTTTTAGAATCAAAATTATTATGACATTATGTCATGGCAGAATTCCTCTACAGCCAGTATCATTCTGTATGGACCTGACAGCCTGCCTGAACAGAACCCAGCACAAGTATTCCAGCCTTCGACTAAGGCTAAACTGGTATTTCCTGTCACCCCAAAGAGGGGAAAACTAGTACTTAAGGCAAGAAATATGAGGAACTTAATGTATGATTTGTCAATGTCAGTGTGTATTTTGCAGGTAAAATCTATATTAAATTTGACTGATGATGTATAAGAAAAATAGTTGGTCAGGATTTATATATGCTATATATTTCTTTGATTTCTCCTCTCTGTATTGAAGGACAATTAATTAATTCTCTTAACTCAAATAGTATATGACTTTTTTGTGTTTTGCTTTCTCTGTCTCCCTTTCCTGAATACAAAAATAAAAATTTTAAAGGCATGGAAATGTACCATAACCTGATAAATCTATTACCATAAAAAAAAGAGCTATGTATAGTACTCAGTTAAATCAATTCATAAAGAAATATAAGTTTAGTAAATTCTAACTCAGATGTTGTTCATTAATTGATGATGTATTTCTGCTATGAGCAGGGAAATATTAAATAGTAATTTGCATTGCTCTGCAGCATGCATATTCTAAGATTAAACAAGTTTACAATACTATTGCAAATTGTAACTATGATGCCTTTTTGGGAAATTAACTTAAGTTTATACTGACAATGACTGGATTAGGTTGTATAGGAAGATTAATTTCTCCCAGAAAACACACGAGGAATAACACAAAGTCTAAAGTCTTGTTTTTGTTCTTGTTCTTTTGTCTAGTTATTCAACCAGACAATACCAATCCATTCAGATAATCAGAAAAAGCTGACATTTCAACCATAGCCAAAGCAGTTTTTTACTTTCATTTTCTTTCTTCTTCTTCTCATAACATCTCTGAATTAAAGAATCAGATACTCGGACATAAAAGAAAAAGAGCTTACTCTCCTGCGCTGTGATTCACAGAGGTGAAAAAACAATACTATTTTCAACATTGAGCTATTTTAGACAGAAAAGACACATACTGTACTAAGGATTATTATTACCAGGGGTCACAATTAGTAATATTTTTTTATTTATTTTCCTTGTACTCTCCTGAGAAGTAAGGAAATTTACAAGCAAAGCATGCCCTGTGATATTCCACATTTTTTAACAACTCACAAGTCCAGTTGTTACATCACTTTTCCTTTTACTGTTGATAAAATATTAAAAAACTGAAATCGGGTTGCAGTTTGAATTTACAGAACTGTATTTTGCTAGGCTTCTGCTTAAACACTGTGTAGGTGTTAAAATTGACATTTATCTTACATTTGAAGAACAAATTGGGCCCCCATTTATAGCCTGTCTAATGCTGTGCTGAGAAATTTGCTCATAGACTCATTATTTCAGGTAATCTAAGCTGTTTACCAGTAGGAGGATTTTATTCCCATCTTTTTTTAATATGATTTATTAATCATAACATTCAGCTTAAAATACCTAAGCTATTCCAATTCAGCAAGAGTTTGGGCATAAAAATGATAATGCAAAATAATTTATGTTTACAAAGTAAATATCTCAACTATCCCACCAGATTCACAATAGGACTCATTTAACTCCAAATAGCAAAACAGAACGATGTGGCTCTGTCCTTTCTGACCCCTTGCTCTCTCCAAGAGAAGCAAATACTCAAATAAATTACTTTAAAGACATTTACTTGTAATGTGTAAACCCTAAGTTTAAATTCTCCCTCATTTAACTCACAGACAGGCCTTGAATATCAGTCGCCCATCTCAGTCATTAGCTGTAGCTGTAAGGTAAAAGAGGCAGCACTATCATGTCTCCCCAGAAATCTAGATGACCATTTCTAGATTTACTTAAAATTGTCCAAACACTGAAGATCATTAACTTTTTCCTGGAAAGAAAACAAAACATTTAATTTTTAGATGGACCTAAACAGAATTTTTGTTCATGTTTCTTATTTTCCCAAAGTACATCTTTCCATGACCATTACCCACATATCTTCAGTATGTATTCATTGGTTATTCTGATTTTCATGCAGAACTAAAAATAATAAATGTAGCTCAAGTGACCAGCCACAGGGCTAACTGGAAAATACTGCTGTTCATTATACTACAGTTTGTGTTTCTAATATCAGACTCCCAAAAGGAATAGCAGAATTTTATGAGAAGTAAATAGCTGCTTCCTGAACATTCCCAGTCTCATTATACAAAATGGAAGAGACATGGGCTCTTCAGGCCATTTTTTTCTGGGAAGCCTGAATGATACTTGCAGACTTGAGGTCAGGAAAGTTCTAGCATACTTCTCTGAAGTCACAACAAGGGGTGAACGTGCTGACCATTCATTCTCTGAAGGATCCAGAGAGTAATCGCTTTCACTGTGCTGTTTTGGTTTGGTTTCCTCTAGTCTCCCACTCAAACAAGGAATTGCATGAGGCAAAGGGGAAATCCTTCATGACAGTTTGCAATCAACACTTTGTGGCAGGATCTTTGAGACTGAAGGGTGGCTCCACAGGGCTTGTCAACAGGGGAGATAATGGAAGTACCGGATGTTTTGGGTCAGCTCAGAATGAGCCTAGAAAATATTCCTTCCAACACTCACAGACTTTGCATGCCTGTTGAACAACCTAGCATGGAGGTGCTGAGAAATTTGATTTTTGCATCAGAACCTCAAATAAGCGAAGTTTCAAAAGGTTTGAGGAGGACTTCAGATCTTCAGACACAATAATACATTTACTTCTGGCTTTTCTGATGTGCCTACTATACATTCTTCCAGAGAAGTATTACAGTACAAATCATTCTATTCTACTGTTATGGAAGGTACTGGCATCCGATAGACGAAGCAAAACCGATTCTGTTCGTAGTGGAGATTATCTGTTTCGGGTAGGCTATCAAACTAATTCAGCTTCAAACCCAATCTAAATTAAAAATAATTACAGCACAGAGTATATAAAATACTTATTAAACTGCATACAAGATCTGAGTAAAAAAAAAACAATTAAAAAAATGAGATCACCTTTTTGTACTGTACAGGGGATATTATAACCTCTCTGAGGAAAGAATGGAGGTATTCCACACCAATTTCTGTAGCTTTAAGTGCTGAATTTCTGCTCAACTGAAATATAACATTACCTAAGCAAAATGTACCCCTTGTCTTGATGGGAAAATGACTCAAATCACTGTCATGTGTATGTATAAGAACAGGCAACATATGCCTTTGTCTTATTCTAAAACATAGTGAAAATTTCTCTGAAGTTATTTAGTCTACCAAAGCCAGTAAGAAATGTGATTTTACACTTTTTATGTATGGATTCTTTCATTTTGTTGCAAATTCTTCCTTTCTGCTTCATGTTCTCAATATGCATAAATGTTGTATTTAATGAACAATAGTCATGGTGAACTTTTAAACAGAGAGCAATGCTCATTTTGAAGAAGAAATAACAGATTATGACATTAGCTACATCAAGGCCACCAGGAAATAAGTATAAAAAAGACAGAGTTTACTTTTATGTGGCTGAAAGAGGTGGGTATTACACAACCTTTATAAAAGACACTGAATTAAAGCTTTTTAAGATACTGGGAGAGATGGGAACCCTTTTTAAATCATTATGAATTATAAAGATAACATTTCCTTCAGTTACAAAACCTTTTTTAAGATGTTAAATAAAAATTTACATACACACATATCTATCCAGATGCAAAAAAATAATGTTCTTTATGATAGTTTTTATTTATTCTCTTTTCCCACATTTTCTCTGGTTTTCATTCCTCCTACCATTAATCAGGCCCAGAATACATATTACCAAATATGAATACAAATTCACTTTCATTTTTTAGGCTGTATGGAAATAATTGATGCCTACAAGACTCAATGACAACAAATCCATGTGTGAGAATTGCTAATTGAAGTCTGTTAGTCCAAGTGAAAACTGAAATAAAGAAATTATTTCCCTTTGTTGGAAAGGGTTTTTAAAAAAATATTACTTAAATATAACAACCCATCTCTCTGAGTTATTATAAAAGTAAATTTAAATCTAGCCATAGAATATTAGCATAAGTTGGCTGACCCTTCAGGAAAGGTTCACTATGAACTCAGTCCAGAGGACTTAACATGGAGATGAAATTATCTATGGAATTAGGTTTGTGCATGGAGTTCAGTTAAGAATGAAATTAAATGGCAAAACCACTTTATAATTAATAGTTTAAATAGACTGGGATAAGTGTAGGAAATTCATATAAATGATAACTCTGTGATGGCTTGACCAGTTACATTTTGAGTTTTTATAAGCAAGTCAGTATTTACATGACACAGTGCACAATACTTGTCCCTTTACTTGCCAGCTGGCAAGTAAGTCAAAGAATAACAGTATATGAAAACTGAATTATACATTTATTGTCACAGATAAACTTTCTATGTCAAGATTCATGCAGTTTGGGGACAACAGTACAACTTTCAGCCAAATTTTACTTCTTTCTAAGAAATTTAATGTGCAAAACCATCATTCAACAAAATGAAACTATCTTAATCAAAAATTCAGTAAGATTCAGTTTATTATAAACATTAGCTATGACCATTCAAAAAGCACAGAAGATTTAAATAACTGTTTCTTTCTTTGAATTTATTTTCTCCCTGCATTTCCTGCAAAGATCTAAAGTGTCTCAGGAAGCAATGTGGAGAAACTTACACTGCTGAAGTTTATGGTTAATAGGTTTACACACTAAAATATTTTCATCGTGGTATCTGCTTATTCAGCATTCATCGTTATATTTTAATTACATACACAGGGAACTTTCAAAGTCTATTGCTTACCTTCCTCAGGGAAAGAATTCCTTCCCTTGTTTCTTTGTCAGTAGATATGGAGAACACCCCAGAGCCATCACCATTTATAATTGTGTACTTCATGTCTGCATTTGAACCGGTGTCTGCATCATTTGCTTTGATTTTGCCAACTGCTGATCCAACTTGAGCTGATTCAGGAACATACAGTTGATAATGTTCTGAGGAGGGGAAAAAAAAAAACAACCTCAATATCTTGGCCATTTTCTAGCCAAACTAAATTAGAGAACCATTATGTGCTTGATACACTTCTGAGTAAATGGAAGAATATTTCATAAGCAAAACTGACAAATAAACCTATGAACTCATTTAGATTCCTGAAAGAATTCAAAAGGGAATTGTATTTTACTTGGGAAGCCTTCATTTCCTACTCAAAATCCAAAATACCTAGTGCAGGATTTTGGTTTTCACAGTTATTTTTGCTGTTCATCACATAACACAGAAATTAACTCTGAAGCTTAATTCACACCAGTATTTTAAAAAGTTTATCTTTTCCATTACAAAAATATATTTATCTTCACCAGCTTGCCATCAAATGAGTAGTCATATGAGTACTTTTGAACTGGAAAATCTTTGTATGTTATATTTATAATTTGTTTTTCTGAAAGGTGATCAGTTTTGCAACATTGCATCAACATTTTGCAACATTGAATCAACACATATTTTGCAACATTGAATCAACACATCTTCTTCTAGAGGGAAATGTATTAAATCTTAATATTTTACCATTACCACTTTGTAATGTTTTTGTTGCAGCACAAAACCCTTTGCACAGAAATTTTAATTGGTATCACGGTAAAGGAAAATGAACATAATGGATACATAAAAGTGTTACACAATTGTGCCCATAAAAAGCATCTGTAACAACTATGATCTCCTTTCAGTGATTTTATAACCTGTTAGGTTAATCATTAGAAAAATTTTTTTTTTTTTTTTTGAAATAATTTTCTTAACTGTCTCTATCCTTTGGATTAAATCTCCTAGTAGGTACAAAGTTGCCTGGGGAACAGGAAGGTGCCACAAGGAGAAAAAAGTGGCAAACAGACACAATGTGATTACATAAACCTCAATTTCTGTCTGACAGTAGGCCAAAAAGACAGCTGAAAGAAAATTTCTCCAATAATGCTAGTGTTTTAACACAGCAGGGATGCTGACATCTACCAGCAGTGAAAAGGAGAACACACGTTCAATAGAAGGTGTGCACACACCAACCCCGCACCAAAACAACCCCCCATTCCAATCCCTCCCCAACAGTCTGCACAGTTTACATCATAGGCCAACCACCAACACAGAAAAGAGAGCAAAATAACAACTTCTGTTATTACGTATCTTCTGAAACGTTACAGAGTTTCTTCTATATTCCTCTTAGGCATTCTGCAATAGTGAACGCAATAGTGCAATACTGAGATGCAGGACAGTGGATCAAAAGATGCTACATATCAAAACTAACATGTTGTTACACTTTGCTGAGTTTAAACCAGCTAGCATGACTGCAGAGGTGCCCTCAGTAAGCATATAGGAAGAGAAAGGCAAAATTTGAATTGAATTCAGAGATTAAACCTGCATTATGGTAGAAAACCACTATTTGTTGGATGGATGGAAGAAATTATGAATCTACAGAAGCTGCAATTGCAGAGGGAATGGACACTATCACTAAAATACAACTAACTTAAGATACCTGTTAGAAAATAGAAGATTTTATTATAAATTTGTCTAATTGCTTATACAATGGTTCCTAAACCTATTCATAGTCTTGAATTGTTTTTGTAATACTAGCCCATAATACTAATAAACAAATAGTGTGAGAAGGATGGATGAATGCACTAAACTTTGTTAGTCCAAAAGAAAAGACAGGTTTCCTAGGAAAACAAGAAATAAGTTACCATGCATTCGGGAAATCTCAAGGGAAACAAGAAATGTCCAGCAGGACAAGAGAAAAAGTATAAAAAAGTATAACTTACCACATAAAAAAGCAAATACTAACACTGTAACAGGAAAATTGTTTAGTAGGTGATTCAATTAAAACACATAGTTAATTCTTTGATGCAATTCTTTGATATGCATATAAAAGCCATCACAAATTTCCAAATAAATGCTCTGCCATGCATTCTTTTGCAATGCTTTGTGCTTAGAGATGATGTCAACTGACACTTTCATATTGCTGGTTGCTTTATTCCACACATAAAATTATAGTGATAGGATGAGATTCATTTTGGAATTTACTTCTTGTTAGAATAAATGTGAAATTTGGTCTTTTGACACTTGTGCTCTGACTAATGCATGCCAAAAGGGAAAAGGTTGAAGCCATAAAGAATATGTTATGTAGAGGCCACAAAGAATCTGTTATATAATCAAGCCACTTCAGGAACTGGAAGTGTTATAACACATATGATAGTGTGAACTAATTAGAGACTTCCAAATAGTTAAGCTAGTTCAAATATATCCACATGACACTACACTGCTTTATAATCACACCCCGAGTGTTAGCCATCTGTCTTAGAAAATCATTTTACTGATACCAGCTTCAAACATTCTGAAACACTAAAACTTCAAGCAAAACAAATATTTGAAATCACTCATTAATTATCTGTCAGTATTTGTAGAACTTAAATGTTTCAAAAAAATAGATGGAATGAAAAGAAAACTGTTAAAAAATAAAAACTCTTGGATCATAAGGTCAGAAATGTTTCCCAATGGGTATTTAACCACTGCTTCACAAAGACAGCCTGAAGATGTCTCATAAAGACATAAGCCAAATAGATAATTAAAAAAAAAAAATACTATCTAAAAACAACAAACACATAAGAGGATAAAATTCAGCAATATGAAGGTTAGATAAAATATATTATAGACATTTGTTTAGACTAGTGGTGGAAATTGGAAGTGTTCTTACCAAACACTAAATAATTGTAAACTTTATTACTGGAAAGTAGAGGAGCGGACTAAAGGCTCAGTTGAACATTTCCTTGGGCATTGAATAAATTCTGATAGGACATTAAAAATAATGTGGGATGCGTATACTGTGAATTTATGAATCTTTACTGTAAGCTATGAGTCTGTCTCAACCGTCTGAAAATTGGTTGGGAAGTTAGGAGCCCTGGGGATCAGGCACCAGTCTGTATCAAAACTGTTTCACCAAATCTGCCCAAGTGGAACAGATTGTTCCTATGCTCTCAGCATCGCAGCCTTCCAGGAGCTGTTGTAAAGCAGAAATTTCAAAGTCTTGGGGATGCTCTAAAGTGTTCTAGAGGAGCTGCCCGGTGGCTTACGAATCGAGATTCTGTAGAGGTTGATTTGGTTCTCAATTTTTATGTTAACATTCACTCAGATGCATTCACTTAACTCATGAAATAAGTAAATTAGTACTCTTTTCCAGTTAATGTACTGTATAGGATAGTCATACCACTTTGCAGGACTTTAATCTATGCTAATTGAAACATTGTTCAAATACATATAGGCGCTCTTCATCTTTCTTTCAATAAACTATATGGTTTATCTGTCATTATAATACAGAAACAATTCACTTCTCATTTCAATCAGCCTAAAGGCAACCTATAGTGCTGTGTTTTACTCTCAGAAAAGCAATTTCTCTGTCTGAATCTTTCATAAAAAGAAGTATGACAGTATTTAATGCAACTCAATAAGCATGTTATTCACTTCATTTTATTCATTAATCTATTTTGTTGATAATTTTGACTTACTTTTCTAGATTATAATGTCCTCTTGAACAGTAGGCATTACATTACTTGACAAAGGAAGGGAAGAGAGGCATAATACTGAACTAATAGAGAAATAAGTAAATAGTTGGCCTGCTTTTTATTTGTTTGTTCAAGTTTTAGTAACATGAGGATAAATACTGCTTGGTGATGAACCAACAGATGCATTCATTCATACAGCACAGCTCATACACTGATGCCTTTGTCTATCTACTAGCAAATTGGTAAACACAGCAACAGATTGCCTGAACATAAAATACCACCATATCCTGAATATATATCAAAGTGCTATGTGAAGAAAGTTTGCTTGAATCTACAACAAGCTAAATACTCAGTCATGAGCCAAATTTATAAGATATGGAGAACAAACGGACAGTGAGCCAGGCTCAGTGTCTGATGATTATGAGCACAAAATTCAACTGGCAGCCAATTTCAGGTATCAAAACTGTGGCCAAAACTACTTAATGCCTTAATTAATAACCTGCATGATGGGTTGCATGTACTCGCAGCAAGCAAGTGGACAATACCAACTTGGGAAACAGTGGTCAGTATGCTGGAGGGCAGGGCTGCTTTTCAAAGGGACAGGTTGGAGAAATGGGCTGACAGGAACCTCACAATCTTTAATGACGGCAGCGGGGGAGGAATGACCCATTCACCAGTACACGCTCGGGGCCAACAGCCTGTAAAGCAGCTTTGCAGAAAAGGACCTGAAAAAGGACCTTTCAAAACTTGACTAGACAAGGCCCTTAGCAACTTGATCTAACTGAACCTGCTTTAAGCAGGGGTTTGGGTCAGATCACTTTTTGGAGGCTCCACATGAATCTACGTTCCTGGCATTCATGAAGTTATGTCTCATGCTTTACTGCCAGCCATTGTTGGTAAAACTAAAGTGCAGCTCCAGCTGTGGCCTGTGTTCAATTTTGCTTGGTGGCTTTCTGCTACAAAGTTATTCTTCATTCACAGAGCTGCTTGTTTTCATTATATGTAATAGATTATTCTGGATTTCTCTTCTAAGACTGCAATTTTTTAGAAGTCCATTTCTCACAGTATGTCTTGGACATTAGTTACATCTTTCTTTACTATGCTTATTTTTAATTTAATAAAACCAATTTTAATCCATCATCATTATGAATACAGTAACTTCTACGATTCCAGAAGCTCAGTTAATTTTACTGTCTTTGTTCTAAATATTCTTTTTGATGACAACACCCCTTTCATACAGCTAAACTAAGGAAGAAATTTTTAAGATGTGTGTTTGGCTTATTCTTCTTCTCTGACAAAAAAACAGTTTTGCACTTTCTAAAAATATTTGAAGTGTAAGTGAAGTTATTTCTTATTTGCAAATACGACACTGAAACAATCCTCAAGACTCAGACATCTTGCTTGCTTTGAAACTCTGGAGAACATAAAACTTTTGGGTCAATTTAGAAAAAAAACATTCTTCT